AATCAGGAAACCGGAAACTATAATTACTCATGAAAAATGGGGGAAACACTAGGAAACTCTCGAATCAACGTGCAACTTGGCTAGAACAGAGGATCTTAAAATAGGAGATCCTGTGAACAAAGTTACTGATGAGAACAAGTCCAATACCTGATGTTTGAGTCCACAAACTAGGTTTTACACTCATTTAAAAGCGGATCTATCTGGTATATTTGATCTTTTGAAAAAGTTGTATCAATTTCAACACATATGCGAATCGGAGCTTCGCATCACTTGCGATACAACACAAACATGAAAAAAAAACATAAGTCTAAAAAAATGAAATGTTGAATAAAAGTAGGGGAACGAAATTTTTTTATGTCTCGATAAAGCTGGAAAAGCATATTTGAGATTTTTTGAACTTCTTATACTGATGCGGGACTAAATGTGTAATTTCAAAAATTGGCCTTTGCCCAAACCTTGTTTGTTGCTATAATACCATTTTTCTTACAAAAAATTAAGAGAAGGGTAGTTCGAGAAAATTCGAAAAGTTTAAAAACGGTCAAAAAACAAAACTTTGATTTTTCCGAGGGCCATAACTTTTAGTATAAAAAAATTGTGAGTGACCACTAATGCAGGAGAGCTTCCCACTTACCATTATCTCCCTTGCACCTACGATCTCAGATTTGGCAGGTTAGTTTTCGAAAGTCAAAAGATTCAAAAAAAGGTCAGACCATCAAAAATTCAAGTCTTTAGGTAAAAACTTAGTGTAAAAAATATGGGCGAAGCTTATGTAGATCTTTCCAAAACCCGTTCTATTCGTTAAAAGCAAACTCCCAGATTTTAGAAGCAAACTCAAATTTAAAAATAAATGGGTCAAATATTCCATATTTTACCACTTTGAAGGCTATAGACAGAGGGGTGGAGTAAAAAGAAGACTAGGTGAGTATCTAGGCACATAGAAGAGTAGGCGGTTTTTTAAATGATACTTTTTTAAACATCCGTTAGAATAAAGAGAAAAACTAAGTTTGCAAAAAATGAAGAAAAAAAATCCTAAGAGTATTAAAAAATAATACACAAAGCCAAACCCCATATTTGCATGATACCTGATTTACCAACCAAAATTTCCAGGAAAACATGCCAATTAAATCATTTGAAATTTAAATTGTCAATGGAACAAAACTTGAGAAGCGGAAAAAAAGCTGAAAATTTTATACAAGAAAACTTTAAAACGTTTCATGGCCCCCCCCCCTGAAACTACGAAAAACAACACTTGCAACTACCAGGATACTTAGGTACAGCACAACAAAACTATGATATAGCAGCTAAGCCGGAAAAGCTTAAGCATATAATTTTTCCGGAACAACAATTTTTCCGGAAAAACAAAATATTCAATTGCATACATACAGAAAAAAAACAAGGTCCGGCCTGGAATCAACCCCACAACATAGGATGCAAAAGCGAAAGCGTTACCTCTAGGCCAAGCCCGAAGTAACCTGGATGTTGTTATGATTCAATAATAAAGCAAGTCAAGATTTTGTAAGAAAAGTTGTTTACGGGAAAAAAGCCTAGTTCCCGATTACAAGACATGCTTTCGTAAATGTAAGTAAAATCACCGGTAATTAGTTTGAAAAAATAATACACAAAGCCAAACCCCATATATTTGCATGATACCTGATTTACCAACCAAAATTTCCAGGCAAACATGCCAATTAAATCATTTGAAATTTAAATTGTCAACGGAACAAAACTTGAGAAGCGGAAAAAAAGCTGAAAATTTTATACAAGAAAACTTTAAAACGTTTCATGCCCCCCCTGAAACTACGAAAAACAACACTTGCAACTACCAGGATACTTAGGTACAGCACAACAAAACTATGATATAGCAGCTAAGCCGGAAAAGCTTAAGCATATAATTTTTCCGGAACAACAATTTTTCCGGAAAAACAAAATATTCAATTGCATACATACAGAAAAAAAACAAGGTCCGGCCTGGAATCAACCCCACAACATAGGATGCAAAAGCGAAAGCGTTACCTCTAGGCCAAGCCCGAAGTAACCTGGATGTTGTTATGATTCAATAATAAAGCAAGTCAAGATTTTGTAAGAAAAGTTGTTTACGGGAAAAAAGCCTAGTTCCCGATTACAAGACATGCTTTCGTAAATGTAAGTAAAATCAACGGTAATTAGTTTGAAAAAATCACCGGAAAAAGGTCTAGTACCCAGATTCAAAACCTTTGCTTTTCGCAAGGATGAAAAATTAGACGACCATAGTGTTCGAACACATCTAGAACGAACCAAAAGAATTCGAGTCAACTGTCTTCGTAACTGCTCCATATCTTATTTCTTTCTCTAGTAGTTGACACAAGTAGATAATCTAATGCTAAATACCAGTATGCAATGCAAGCGCTTTAAAAAATCAGATAAAACAAATGCTACCAAATACGGACACACAGAAACTGAACATAAATATAAAACTGAGAAGAAACATATTTTGCATCCAATGGCCATAAAAAACACCATTTGTATTATCAAAAATGCCAAATTTAGGGTTCAAATCCTCTAATCTTGTTATTTTTGTTGCTACGCGGTAAATTCTATAAATAATATCTAACTATAAAAGGGTCGAAGTAAGACACTATAGTAAAATCATTTTGCAGGCTCTTTTTTGCCAAGCCCACGCCAAACTTTTACCATTATTAATTTTGTTCATAATTTCCGATTCGTCGAAAAAAGTTGTCAGTATTACTACGTATTACATTTAATACCTAATAAAGTATGTATAATGGATATTGTTTTTGCTTCGAGATTGTCCGAATAATATGTTTAAACTTCATTTTTTTTATGCCATTTGAAGTAAAAAAAAATATTTCCAATGTTGAAAAAACTAGAAGAAACAAAATTTTCGTATGTCTCATAAAAGAACAACTAGAGGCCCAGCTAACGCTGGAGGTACGCGTTGGATATTGTATCAATTTGCTATACTCATGAGGCACGAAAAATGAAATTTAAAAAGCTTGACTTTGCCAAAACCTTCGTTGTTTCTCTTCTAAAATAAGCAACGAGAGTAAAAAAATTTGAGATAATCAATTTTCCCAAGGATATAACATTTCTCTTAACTAAAATCTAAGGGAAAAATTATCTCAACGAGTTCTTTCAATTGAACTTTTCATCTCACATTTGATTGTGTAAAATTTAAGAAAATTCAAAAAACTTCTAGTTGTTCTAAAAAAAAGGTCAAAAGATTTTCCAAAATCCATAACTTTTTTCTGCAAAAAAGCAGGTTGTGGCCACTTAAGCAGAAAAGATTCCCAAAACCAAGTTTCTCGATTGAACACAACCTGAGAACTGCCACGGTAGTTTTCGCGTAGAGTCAAGTAAGTTCTTGTTTGAAGGCCAGAACTTTGTTTAAAAGAAACGGAGCATAGACAGTTATAGAGGTAGGCTTTCAACAACCAGTTGTTTTGATTAAACCTATGATATCGGATTTGGCAGGATAGTTAGCGAGAAAAGTCCAAAAAACGGTCACCAAATCAAAAATTTGATATTTCCGAGAACCATAGCTTTTTGTGTAAAAAATAAGGAGTAGCCGCTTATGCAGAATCAATACACGCATTTTGTAATTTCTATTAAATCCAAAATCTCAGATTTGGGAGGGTATTTCCGGAGAAAACTTTCAAAAACCGATCAAAAATCAAAAATTTGACTTTTCCGAGTGCCATAACTTTTGATGGTGGAATGATTTTGAGGTAGTCGTATAATAATGAGGTTTTCCCGTGACCTGTTCTCTGAATTGAACCCAAAATCTCAGATATGGCAGGGTAGTTTTCGAGAATATTCAAAAAGTTAAAAAAATAAAATACCAAAAATTTGGTTTTTACATGGGGCGATAAATTGTAGCGTAAGAAACATTGTGAGTGACCGCTTAACCAAGGGAGCTTCCCACTATCCGTTATCTCCATTGAGCCCACAGACTTGAGAGGTTAGTTTGCGTGAAAAGTCAAAAAGATTCGCAAAATGGTCAAAAATCAAAACTTTCACTATTCCGAGGGCGTAATAAAAATTGGGCGTAGCCGCTTATGCAGAGAGCTTTTCAAAACAGTTCTATTCATGGAAACCAAAAACTAATATTGGTCAAACATTCCCCCAGAGACTTTTTCGAAGGCTGTAGACAGAGGGTTCAATTAAAAAGAGACTATAGGGGGGTGTATGCAGGCACAGAAGGGAGTAGGCGGACTTTCAATTGATACCCCTTTTTTGAAATAAAACTCTTTTTATAACGAAAGAAAAAAAGGAAATTCAAAAAACCGATTGGTAAACATACATTAACTTGAAAAGCGCGGAGGGGAGTATTTATATTGTGTTTTCCATGAAACGACTCAAAATCAGGTCATTAAGCCGATAAAAAAATAGGCCGAAATAAATTGGGATGAGGAACTTTTTTTTAGCGAAACAAAAAAATACGAAGTCAAGGTAAGCAACGTTTTAAATTGTAGGATTAAATCAAACACTAAACGCAACATCAAAAAACAACGACAAAAAATAAGCAGACAAATAATAAGCTGAAAATTTTTTTAAAACGGAATACTTCCCGTTTGAAAAAAAAAACAGGCCCTGATCAGATTCGAACCCAGAACCTTTGCTGTCCATGGCGTATTCGACAAAAAATAAGCAGATACATAATAAGCCGACAATTTTTTTTGAACGGAATGTTTCCCGTTTGAAAAAAAAACAGGCCCTGATCAGATTCGAACCCAGGACCTTTGCTGTCCCAGGCGTATTCGTTACCTCGAGACTAAGTGTGCCGGAGAGGGCTAACTGAATAAGCCGGAGTGTGCTAATCGCAAGCGTAATTACAATATAAGAATGAGTCATTAACCTTAAAATGTGCCTCCTGTATCGCCAAAATATTTTCTGGTCTCGAGCGAAACCAAATTTCAAATCGTTGTTGTTTGAAATTATTACAAGGCACGAATAAGTCACAAGGCTCCTGATAATTATTTTTTAGAAAAACATCCACTAACCTGGTGACACAACCCATGCCCTGAGCAGTTGGTGAAGCAAGGAGCGACTCCATTGGCAGAGCCCCTCATTTCCAATTCCCCCCCTGGTGGGGTATCTTTTGAGAAATCATTCGGCGCAATGATCACTTTAGCCACTGTTGCCAGTTCATCCAGCGTGAGCATTTTGGCCCCGTGCGATAGCGGGAGGAGATTGTAGTAATAACTACTGTCAGTTAATGGTCGATTATAACTTTTTGTAACAGACACAGTTCCAAAATCATCTTTCTCCCTATAATAGTCTGAGTTAACATACTGCGAGGAATGGTCAAGTGAAAGCAGATTCATCAAGAAGCTTTTTCTGGTGACAATTGAAGAGCAGCAGTTTGTAGGAAGAAAGTTTTAAGAAGCAAAGACAACTGTCATCAATTTTGCTTCTATTTGCCTCGGAGGTGGAATTGTTGACTTGCATTTAGAGCCTGAAATAAATCACACCGACGATATTTTGACAACCAGCATGGTGAAGCATAGTTAATGCATATTGTCAAAGTTCAAAGATGTTTGCGCAGAATCGTATAAAATTTTAGGCAAAGTGAAAAATAACCTCAGAAAAGGCTTCGAAGTAAAAAGTTAACAAAGGCTAATTGGCGCCATTATACTCAGAACTGAAAAAAATCATCAAATTAAAAAAAACTGAGGAAGCGCTGCTTTCATCATTAAAACATGGGGCAGGGCCTTAAAAGACTTCCGCCTGAAAAGAAAAAGCTTCTTTCTGTTCTCTCAAAAAATTTCAAATTCCATCCAACAGCAATTAATAAAAGGGTGAAGAAATTCAAATCACTATGTTGAGTCAAAACAGTGAATCAAACTGATTGTTAAGTGAAGAGAAAAGATTTTCACTTGAATTCCTGTGGAATTTAAAAAGGTTCAATTAAACAAAGGGCCTGAGCGCAATTTTGAAAGTAAATAAATTAAGCTTACGTCACTCAATCTTTATTCAATCTAAATTCCAACTGATTTTGAGGCAGAACAATCAAAATGACCTTTATTGATTATGGAGACCAACTGATTTTGAAGCAAAAATTCAAAATGACCTGAGTTGCGCGGTTGCATGGTATTAAAAACTGCGCCACGAGGTTCTTTTGGTCATAACCGTTTCAAATACAATCTTTCCTTTGGAAGGGACAGCCGAGGAAAATATAAGTATAATTCATTCAATGCCAGCTTTGCAAAGATAACACATTACTTATAATCAAAATACCTGATTGCAGAAAAACGCGGAATTCGAAATTCAGGCTTGGTTAGACCGACCAAACAAAAAATCGATCATCTCTCTTTGTTCAGAGAAGCTGCACTGGGACATGTATAAGAAAAGCTGCCTGAAATCTGTACCAAAGAACCTCGAATAATTGTTTAAAAAACAATACTCCGTGCGCCACCACTATACAACCACTACTCGTTGGAGAAAACCAACCCAGTTGGTTTCCCATCACTAGTCAAAACGAACAATTTTCAGATGCTTTCATGGCTATGTCGCATGCATGGCGCATTGCCATTATCCAACTCATTATTTTATAGCACTTTCACGTAATGAAGAAAAGAAGCATCTCTTTGCAGTGAAATATATAAATGATTTATCGATGCGTTTAAGTTCAGGTGACAAAGCGGAACTGAGCCATATCCTAAGATGGTCAGTTAAGATTAATTGAAATTTACAATCACCAGTCACGCGCATATCCATTTCTTATGTCAGGGGTGGTTTTAACCACTAAAAATCACCTGCCACACAACCAGATTTATTCACATAGAGGCGAAGCGGAGCTTCGCATCACTTGCGATACAATGCAAGCACAGCATTGCAAGCTAGCGAATAAACAATACGGAAACAATCTAATAAAAAAATTTTTTTTGAAAACATGAAAACATAGCCAACCGAAGATTGGCAAAGAGTAATGAACGCAAGTAAACATAAAAAAACACTGAATTTGTTTTAAAAATCTCAACTTTCGAATTTCAAAGAAAAAACCCTTTAAGCTCATAGAATTTCTAGAAAAATTTATGATTGGCGCTTTTTTTGACAACATTAACCCAACTTGAGAAAACTGGATCAACAGGTAAAGTTTTTATTACTCTGAAAAACTAAAACTTAAATTCCACTTTCGCAACTAGAAATCGGTCACATTTTTTTGCAACATTTCCACGTTCATATTAGGAGAGTGCAATTTACGTCACTTTCAGCAGATGAATTTCAATTGAACTCAAAAAGTGCATTGTACCTAAGTTTATCAATATTTTATGACTTTCCTGGAAAAAAATTGCAAGACCTATATCAGAGTCGTCACTACGTTCATTACTCTTAATCAAAAATATTCAAGAAACACAACAAACAGCATAAAATATATCTTTAGTTTTTTCACAAGCTGTCAATAAAACCGACAATGCATTCATTGGGCCAAAAGCAGCCGCTCTAAGCCGCTCATTAAGCCGAAAACAAAAAACGCCATGAAAAATTGTTGACATAACTTTTGAGCATTTAGGTTGTGACGCTTTGAAGTTTTGAAAGACAAAACAGCTGATTTTTTTAATCAATCAATTTTTGCCCTTGAAGCGACTCAATCGAAGTAAATAAGCCGATAAAACAAACCTAAAACATTATGGCCGAATGAAGCTTTTAAGCGAAACAACAAAAAGAAAATATGCAAAGTTAGGGCTATTGAATTTATAAATTAAAGAATTACATCAACATCTTTGGCATCTACAACAAAACCTGTTGCGCACACTAGAATTCTACAATTTCTCAACTAAGCGGACAAATTATAAGCAGACAAACAGGAGTCCGACAAATCAACTTTTCCAGATTTTTTTTTTCAAATTTCATACAAACTGAAAAAACAAGGTCCGGCCTTAGGATGAAAAGACAACCGCGTTTCGTCGAGGCCAAGTGGTGAAAAGTCTCGAAAAAGCTACAGTTCACTAATAAAGTAACTTCAATTTTTCAAATTGAGATGTTAAAAAAGTCTTGTTCCCGATTACAAGACAGCTGCTTTCGCAAGTGTACGCAGACCTCTTGCAAAAGCTTTCAAAGCTAAACAAAGTTCCGATAACTAAATTGGTGTAAAGATCATCTCCTGGAGGTTTTATGACGACAAATTAAAGGAAAGGAAATTGCATTCGACTTTTTAACCTTTTCCTACCCATAATCAGATACGACGAAAAACATCAGATCGGGTCCAGTGATACATCAAAACCAAGCGCTTTCAATTGTGATAACAAGAAAATAAATAGAATTCTCTCTTGAACACCGCAATTCAAGGCAACTAAGCCGATATAACATAAGCCGAAACCATTCAATCCGAATAAACTTCTAGCGAACAAAAAAATATATGGTAAATGATAAAGCATAGCCATACGAAGATTGGAAAAAAGTAATGAACGCAAGTAAACATGGGAGCGGTGGTGAATTTCTTACGTCTCCGCCTCTCAATCGAAAGGTCGGATGTTCGAGGCCCATCAAGATCCGTGCTCGTTGCTTGAGGGTGAGGCAACATTAACCCGCCCAGAAAAACAACCGATAAAATTGCATGTAATACTTAAGCAGAGGCACAACAGCGGTTCGCAGTGAAGAGCTGTACAGCTCGTATGTTGGTCTTTTCCCTCGTGGATAAATGGTCTTAACATAAAAAAACACTAACTTTGTTGAAAATATCGCAACCTTCGAATTTCAAAAAAAACTCAAATTTCACTACCGAAACCAGAAATCGTTCGTTTTTTTGCGCCATTTCCACGTTCGTATTTGGAGTGTGCTTTTTACGTCACTTTAGGCAGATAAATTTCAATTGAACTCAAAAAGTGCATTCATTGCACAACTGTAGTTATCAGAGGATTTTAGGACTTTTTCCTGAAAAAAAAAACAGAACAAAATCACCACGACCTATATAAGAGTCTTCACTACGTTCATTACTCTTAAAAATCAGGGCTGAAAAATTTGATAACTATAATGATAAATCAAAATGATTTTTAAGTGCAGTTAAATGTACACGCTGTGGCAACTAAGCCGACAAAATATAAGTAGACAACAAAATATAAGTATTCCTTCCAATTGCCTTGTAGGTGACACTTAGTGTTTCTTTGGAGCAACTTTAAGTAGTGCCAGCAAGTTTTTTAAGTAAATTTAAATCTTTTTTGTTAGCCACAGGTCATAGCGTAGTATACAGGTCTCTAGGCCAAGTGGTCAAAGCTCTCGTGCTATGGCTCACTTATAAAACAAGCAAGGAAAGCAAGTAAGATTTGTAGGAAAAGTTCTTCAGGGGATAAAAAGTCTAGTTCATGATTACAAGACACTTTCGCTTTCAAGGGTAAACATCGAATGAAAAAAACTATACGACTTTGGGCTACTTTGAGCGATTCCGCCTAGAAAATTATATCAGCACTTTTCACCGATGCCCTAACTATGTAACAAGTCGAAACTTCCAGACGTTTACGCGCCGCTGCACGGTATTCCACTGCTGAACAATCCTTCTCGACTTGAACACTGCTCAAAAACTAATTGCAATCTAACGTTAAGGAAGATCACTTATCGAGTCTGGATGTGGCACATCACCAAAATAATTCAGTAAAAATGTTTTTTTCCGATACAAAAAGACCATTTTATAACAAGATGTTGATAGAAAAAAAAAGAAGTCAGGTTTATGAAAACTAAGCTGAAACAATTAGTCATAGTTTCATAACTTTGGCTCGGATGATGTATATAGACAGCCTTGGAAAACCTTGATAATCAATGAACGAGCGTCAGCTAAGGTGAAAAAATTTGGATAGACCCACATTTAGCTGCAAATAAAACTGTACTCAAAAACATTTCAAGTTTCTGAAATCAAATTCCTAAGATCCATCCCTCCCGAAGAAAAAAATTTGAAAATTCGCCCTAGGAACTACGCAACATCAGTTCACAAACCCGATAAAATATAAACAAAACCCATTTAGTAAAAAATAAATCAGTGTTGGTAATTTAAAAAACAGAACGACCTTCGCAACCTTCAAATGTAATTTAAATCAGTGGCCCAGCCAAAGCTGGAGGTACCTGATTGATATTTTCTAGAACATGTTTTAGTAATACGGGATGAAATGATTTACTATCCAAGTCCGAAATTTTAGTGATTTCTCTACTTAAATAACTAAGTCGGCCCTAGTGTAGGCCACTTACCTACTACACCTTACAAATGAACTCAAAATAAAACAAATTTTTCCGCAACCAATTCCCGCAAAAATTTTGGAAAACTGCGACAAATTCATAACATCTTTTCTAACACATATAAAAGAGTAGATGATTCCCAGGAAAAAAGTTCACAACCGCTTTATTTGATTGAGCCCTTAGCCTCATTTTCGGCAGGCTAGTTTTTAAGAAGCAAAAAAATCACCAAAATAACCAAATTTGACTTTTCTGAGTGTTATAGTTTTCTGTAGAGGAAATAGGGCGTACCAACTTGTGCAACAAAGAAGCACACAATCTGTTATTTTGATTGAAGCATTAAGCTGAGAATTGGCAGGTTAGTTTACCAGAAAAGTCGAAGCTTCTGAAAAACGGCCAGAAGTCAATTTTTTCTGTAAAAGTTAAGGGGTATCCGCTTATAGAGGCAGCCTTCCCACCTGACATTTTAGTCAATTGAAACCAAAATCTGAGGTTTGAGAAGGCTAGATTTTAAAAAAACATTTTGACACAGAGGCAAAGCGGAGCTTCGCACTACTTGCGATACAGCATAAAAATGAAAAAAAAAACCATTAGAAGTCGGAAAAAAACCAAAGTTTATATTTTCGTTTATCTCGAGACAAGTTCATTCTAGGCACACATTTGAACATTCCAGAAATTTGAACATAATATTAGCAAAGCAACAAAAATAACGAAGAGGATACGAAGCCGACAATCTTTTTACAGACAAAAGCTGAGCTGAAATAAAAATGATTTTACAAAAAAAACCTCAAGAAATAAAGTCCTACCTGAAATTACAATGCTTGCACTTGCAACTATGACGGAAGTTCTTTACAGCACACAAAAAATCAGTGATGTGGCAACTAAGCCGAAAATCTTTGAGCAGATAC